ATCCAAGATACTCGCACGTATGTGTCAACTTATTTAAGCAGATGAGAATTTGGTAGATTTTGGTTTTCACTGAATCTGATAATAAATACTGAATAAAATGATTGAACTCAATGTGCTCTAAAAGTTTCTCATGAGTGATATGTGAAGGTATAGCTAATAGGCATAAATGCAGTATAGATTCGACAATCGTGTAATTTTCAAAAGCTATGTTTATATGGTATTGGTAGCTCGATGCCTACATCTTTCGGTAATTAGCCAGTAGAGTAAAGAATAGTGGCTAAAGACTTATTTTAAGTCTTAATTCTGTGCGATATCTGAAAAATGTTGAAGTGTCACTTAAAGTTTTTCTATACATTTTCCACATTATCTTTTATCCAGACAGTTTATTGTTATATTTTTTGATTAATAATGCTTTTATCAGCGTAGAGATTCGTTGAAGTTTAAAGCTTTTCGTTATTTGAAAACAGAGCTGGCAACACAGAAGCGTGACTATGATAAGAATAATCAACAGCGGCAAGGGTTTTTCACACCCAGAAACCAACGTCGATTGATTCCAACTTTGCGTACTAATGAAGTAAATAATTCAATGAGTAAGTTCATTCAAGGAAATTCTACTATATTGAAGTTGGCGTCATATATAAATAGTGATATTTCATTGAGAAACACCGAATTGTAAAAACTCAGGAAATAGTGGTTCTTAAAAAGTGACCACATATTTCATCAAGAAATCTAGACTATTGCTTATTAAGTAGCCGTTCTAGGTGCTCGAAAAACTTGAGGAGTCGAAAGAAATCTATAGAACCATCTACTATTATCCTCTCAATTTTTATAACTTATCTGTTTCTGCGATTGTTTTAAGCAGTTTTATCCGATAGCATTACCCATGTAAAAATTGATAAAAATTTAACGATGTTAACGAAAAAAGATGTTACAATTTTGACCGTGAGAACGCGTTGAAAATTTGCTTTTAACGTAACTTCACGGATTATTTCACGTTAAACTGTTTCTAACGAGAAAACACGCGTAGAGTTTCGTTAAAAGCAAATTTTTAACGCGTTTTCACGATCAAAAATGTAACATCTTTTTTCGTTAACTTCGTTAAATTTTTATTGACTTTTACATGGGTAATATTTCGTTCTTTCTTGCTATGTTTCTTTATCATGAAACTAAAATATGAAGCGAATCGGAGATGCTGCTACATAGGAGTAAACGATTTAAGTGGATGTGAATATGGTTCGTGTTTTTGTTGTTATTGAATCTGCTTATAAGTTCTGAACAAAGTGGTTAAATTCAAGCAATTCTAAAACTCTGTAATAAGTGGTATATAAAGGTATAACTAATAGGTATAAATTCAGTATTTATTCGATAACCATATAGTTTTCAAAACCCATGCTAAAAGATATAGGTAGGCTATCCAAGCTATTACTCAAAGAGTATTTCGAGATTTCAATCTGGGCTTTTCGACGAATTGACGACATTGTAATTTTGCTGCGCGTCGACGTTTTCTGGACCGATTGAAAAGTGAAAATCCGGGGGTTGTTTGAAATTCGTATACCTTCTTCGCATTCCTCTCTGTTGAATTCGGATGGGTCAAATCAGTCGAACTTCGAGTGGTCGATATTCCGAGCACTCGGAAGTTTTGTGAAATTTCAAAAAATTTTCGTTTTCTACATCTGGTTTTTTTTTCAAGCACTCAATATCTATCGGATATTTTTGCAGAAATGAAGATCCGAACATATGTACTTGCGATTGCAATGCTCATTTAGATCAGATGAAATAAATAGAACGTTTTCATTTTAGATAAATCTCAGTGGCATCATGAAATATGTTTAACTTTAATATTATTTTCGTATTGACTTTGAAGATAATTTTAATAAGTTTTGTCTTCAAAAGCAACAAGTCGTATATATATATTGCTATTGTTGATGATAAATATAATTAATATTATCTGTTATAAGTTTCATTGCGTTAAATGAAAAAGTGATACTAAAGCACTGATTACATTAAAATGAATTAAATTATGTAAAGGAAGCAACAAAGACATATTAACTAAAATTAGGCAAATCACACCTATCTATGCCTTTTAAGTTTTTAATATTCAACCATCTCAGTCACTTTGATGACTAAAAAAATAAACCGATTGTTTTAAATGATCCTATGAGCTAGTTCTTTGTCAACGAGTAATCAACGAGAGTTATTTAAGACCTCAGGATATTTGCTGTGTTATGAAACGAAACTTAATTATGTCTGTTTTTTTCTCAGGACTGCTAACATATTTCTATCGTTGTTCTAGTTGTAGCTGATAAATAATATTGCTTAAATGGTAAGACCGCATCAAAGCACCTAAAGGAAACAAACATTCTTCAATGGAATCATGCAATAAGAGTCAAAAAAAACAGTCAAAAACCGAATTTCAGAGACGTTTTTAGCAATCGAACCAAAACCAACAAGAGCAGTTATGCTATTCGATAGGTGTGTTTCGTCGAGCATTCGATGTTCAGATTAGCTTCGACTGATCAAAATCATGTCAAGTAATCAAAAGTATCTTTCCGATGGATTTCGTACCTTTGAGTAGCCGAAACTTAAATAGACTTCAGGCCGTTGCAATATGTCCGAGAAGTCGAAAATGAATGCAAGATGGATCAATGTTTCCGACCATTCGACAGTTCGATGAGCTTCGACTGATCAAAATTATATGGAGTAATTGAAATGATCTTTTTGATAGGTCACTTCTTTTCGAGTAGTTAATATGTCGATGGTTTTCGAGCGGTCGAAACATGTCCGAGGAGTCAAGAATAAACATGCAAGCAAGAAATGCTTCTGAGGACTCGACATTCGATGTCCACTAAGGGGCTCGAAATTCGAATTAAACGAGGGAAAAAAATATATTCAAGTTTCTACCACTTGCCACGACCATTGTTGACTTTTAAGAGTCTTCTTGGGTAATGTCTAAGTCTTTTCCTGATTTGCAAGCAAAGAAAGTGATACTTTCTAAAGGCTTATACTATCTCGTAACTCTGTGTGATGTTCCAAAAATGTTGAACCTTAAGTTAGAGTTTTCTAAAATATTTTTCCCACCATCTACTTCTCAACATCTCCTGACTATTAATGATCCAGACAGTTCATTTTTATAGTTTTTGATTAATGATACATTTATTACGGAGAGATTAGTTCACATTTAAGACCTTTACGTTTATTTAATACAGACTTGGTATTACATAATCATGAGTATGACAAAAATAATCAACAGCGTCAAGACAGTCTCATACCTAGAAACCAACAACAGTTGCCTCCCAGTTCGCGTACTAATGAAGCAAACAATCCTATGCGTAAGTTCATCGAAAGACAGTCTATTATATTTTCATTAACATACTATATAAAGAGTGGCAGTTCATTAAACAAAAAGATATTAAAAATTTACAAAAGAGTTTCTTAAGAAGTGACCACAAGCCTCATTAAGAAATCCTGACTATTGTTCATTAAGTAGTCCTTCTACGTGAACAAAATATTTGAGGAATGGAAACAAAGCCCTAGAAACATTTGCTATTATCCGCTAGATTTTTAAACTTATCTTCCTTTATGATTATTTGAGAGACTTATTAAACCATAGTACTAACTATTTCTTTCTTTTTTTTTCTATATCATGATACTAAAATGTTGAACGAATTCAAGATACTCTCACGTGAGAGTAAACTATTTAAGTGGATGCAAATAT